GATAAGTGAGTGATCTTACATCATACTTCACACACTTCAGTTTATACTATCTTATATTGAATGAAGAGCTTTCAACATCTTTCTGTTTACAGATCTTCATTCATGATCTTACACCTGAGTTGAGAGCAGAATGAAAATGCTTAATCTCACAGTCAGACACAGTGAAGAAAGTATATAATATTCTCATTGTACAGGAACAAGTGAGTCAATTATGACAGAAAATACTGCAATTGAGTATGCCTCAGCAGAGAACAGATAATCAGACTTCTATGACACAAGTCACACACTCAGATGTGATGAATCTAGATCTGAATGCCATTGGTAAAGCACTGAATTCTCTGAAAAAGAAATTCTCTGAGTGAAAACCTTGATATTACAAGCATTGAGCTTGTTTCAACTGCAGATGTTAAAATCATGATGTAAAAGATTGCACTCAATGTGCGCAGTCAAAAAACTAGCAGAATCAGTGAGCTCAGAGACACTCACTGATATTCTATGAAAAGCCTTCAAAGTGAAAGAGATGTCTGTGTTAGATGACTCTCTGAATTCTGTGAATGTAAAGAAGAAGCAGGCTTCTGAATAAGGTGTGAGTGAGAATGATGAAGTGAACACTCATCTCAATGCCTTGAGACCTGAAATGTTAATGTATAGAAGGCACTTGAGTAAGAATCAAGAGATGGCTGTAAAAGTGTTAGTGAATACAGAAGCCTTTATGTAATATATTAATAATCATATAATCTGAAGATTGAAAGAGATCTGCTGAGTGAAGAATTTCTGATGCATAAGATTATCTGATAATTGATATTTGATATCACCTGCAAGAGTAAGAGTTCTCTTGCACTTTGAAGAATGATCTTGCTATATTTGAGTGTGAGAGCTGCAGAATGTGAAATATGATCTTATTCTTGAACTCAATTGATTTCAAAGGTTCAATTCACAGATTCAATGATGTACATGCTATATGCAGTTGACTGATAGAAAGAAAATGATTCATATGATTCTATCAACTGATATGAGAAGGACATTTCATGCTTCTGATATAGAAGGGTTAAATCTGCTTATGCATTAACAAGCAAAGAGAATGATTTGCAAGACCTCATCTGAAAGCATTCTGTATGTCATATGAGACCTGGAAGTGAAGAAAATCAAGATAAAAGATATGCAGAAGAACAAGTGTATGAAGAAGCTTCTGAAGAAGTATGAGAAGATCTTCTGAACAGATCTTTCACTGAAATTGCTGCTGGAATGAGAATTTGTACATGAGATTGACATGAGGGATGCAAAACCAGTCAATCAGAATGTGTACCCTCTGTCATAAACATATCTTGAAGAACAGAAGTGTCAGATCACAGACCTTCTAGAATGTGATCTCATATAATTCTCATCAAGCACATGGGGCTTTCCAGTTCTATTTGTGAAAAAGGTAAGTGAAGAGTGATGAATGTGTATCAATTATTAAGCACTCAACAAGCTTACAATCAAGAATGAATATTCACTATCATGAATTCAATAACAGTTGAATATGATTGAAAATGCCTGATATCTATCAAAGATTAATCTTCTCTCAGAATACTGACAGATCTGTGTAGATGAACTGTCAGTTCTGTGAATTGCATTTAATATATAATGAGAAAAGTTTGAATTTCTAGTAATGTCATTCAGTCTGATAAATGCACCTGTCATCTTTCAAATGATGATGAATACAATTCTTTATAAACAGAATGAAACCTCATGCCTCATATATCTTGATGACATTCTAGTCTTTTCAAACTCATATAATGAACATCTGAAGCATCTCAATGAAGTGCTTACAACTCTAGCAGAGTATAAGCTCTATATCAAATCAATCAAGTGTATGTTTGAAATGAAAGAGTTAGAGTTTGTGAGACATGTAGTGAGTGATGACTGTATATATCTCATCCTGGAGAAATTGAATGTTATAGTGAATTGACTGTGGCTGAGAAATGTACATCATGTATGACAGTTTCTTAAGTTGACCTCATACTATTGCAGGTTCATCAAGAATTTCACATAAATATCTGTATCACTCTCAGATCTCTTAAGAGAAATGAATACAAATCTGCAAAAGAAGAAGTTTTGTTCAATTATCTGAAATATCATGTGTGAAGAGGCTTTTCTCACACTGAGAGAACATGTAACAACATTCTCAGTACTTATTTAATCAGATTGTAATAAACCTTTCTACATTGAGATAGATGCATCTGAATGAGCTATCAGAGGCACTCTTCTACAGATGAGTAAGAACAGTAAGCTGCACCTGGTGATGTATAATCGTAGAAAACTATCAGGCGCTGAGCTCAATTACTCAGTGCATGAAAAGGAATTGCTAGCAATCAAGCATATGCTGATGTTATGAGATAGATATATCAATAACAAGCATACAACAACAGTGATCACAGATTATGAAAGCCTTGTCTATCTACAATCAATGATAAAACCTTTCAAATGCTTAGCATGTTGAATCTCAGAGTTTCAAGTGTATAATTTTCATATTAAATACTGAAAGAAATCAGACACAGTGATGTCTGATACAATCAGTCATAGACTCAATTTCATAAGTGAGAGTTCTGTGAATCAGACACAAGAAATGTTTGCATTAAATGTGCTGAGAGAATGCAAGGAATCAGAATGAGTGAATATCATGATCTCTTACTTGAAGAATGACAAGATGTCAAATGATAAGCATCTTGTAAAAGTAGTAGAAGAGATGCTTCTGAACTTCAAGCTGAGGAAATTGAAAAACAACATTATGCTTTATCATGATCTAGAATATGCAGAAGCTCTCTATCTAGAATCTTTATTTCAACACAACTTAGTGACTCACATGCACAAAGAATTCAGTCACTTAGAAAGCTCTGAACTCATGAGTGTACTTGAATCAAGAGTGTACTGATCAAGCATAGCTGAGAATATTCAGATGTACACTCACAAGTGTCTGAATTATCAGGTCATGAAAGAATCTAAGAAAGGATTAGAATGTGAGAAAGCATAACACCAGATGAAATGTATGATACAACTGTTCAAATGATGAAGAGTGAATCTCATAGACATATTGCTGTGAATATCAAATGGAAATTGATGAATAATCACTGCTATTGATTACACTACTGACTAGCCAGTTGTGAAAGCAGTTTCAGAGGCAACAGAGGAGATGATGATGAAGTTTCTATATAATGAGATCTATGTCAACTATGGAATGCCACATGAGATTCTAACTGATAACAGTGCAAACCTTGTAGAAGGAGCAGTGAGGCATTTCATGAGTCAGTTACAGACAAGACATTGTAGAACAACACTATATCACTCATAGATGAACAGAAAGATGAAACACTTGAATAAAATCTTGAGTAACATGCTGATGAAATATCTAATGAGCAAGCCTACAAGACTATGAGATGAATATCTCAGGCAGGCACTATTGATCATGCGGATTTGACAGCATGCAGTCTTCAAGTGTTCATCATTCTACCTGTTATATGAATTGCATTCACGCATCTCAGAGAATGCTTTGAAAAAGGTGGGAGAGGAAACAGCAGTTGCAGATGCAACAGTCACAGATGTAGCAGAAACAGCAGTTACAGACACAGTAGTAGCAGTTGCAGATGCAACAGTTGCAGATGCAGAATCAAGATTGAAAGAGATCAGTCATACACATGCAAAAGCTAACAAGTTACTTCTGAACTGAGCAATTCAATTGAAAAGAATATGAGACTCACTTATTAAGAAATTGAGTCTCAAGATGAGAATATGAGTTCTTGTATGTAACAAGAGTTCTGAGAAGTTTCAATCTAGATGATTTGAGCTATATAAAATACTCAAATCACATTCTCTGAGAACATATACATTGAAAGAATCAGAGGGATGAGTCTTACACAACTTAATCAATAATTCATAACTTGTGAAAGTAAAGATACAAGACCTGAGTGAATTATGATCATCTGCAGCACTATTATCAGTATTGAAAAAGAAGAGACTTACAATTGAAAAGTCTTATGAAGTAAGAGAAATCATAGATACTTATAAATCAGATAATCTCACTTATTCTGATCTTTTCATGATTATAAGGAAAGAATGAGAAGAAATGAAGAAATCAGATGAATATCACACTTTAATAAGTGATAAGACTGTAGCTGGTCATATAATAACACACTGCAGACAGTGAACACAATATGGCAAAGAGTGATCTCAAAGTGACAGACTTGTATGTGAGTCAGATTACAGAAGAAAAAGAAATTCAGAGTTGAATTCAACTGTTTATATCAGTTTAATTATGAAGATCACAGAGAACAAACTATCTGAAACATCTGTGAATATGTGAGACTAAGTCATCTCAATCTCTGAGAATGCTCAGAGATCAGATAAGATTAGTTTTGATGAGCTGTTCACTGTAGTGATCTGAGTGAGTGAAGAGAGACAGTATAATATGTGAGACAGAATCACAAAAGATGAAAGCTGCTGAACCTAGTCACTGAATACTATATTATATAGAGATTGTGTAAGAGTAGTGACTAGCAGATAAAGAAAAAGTGTAAGAAAAGAGATGATGAATTAGTCATCAACTGTAAGAGTCAGCTGTAAAAGATAAATGTTATTATACACACTTCATTCATTTTCATACATCACATGTTAATCTATTTTCAATGTCACATCATCTGAAAAATGCTAAAAATAAAGAAAATCTCAAAACTTGAGATCTGTAAGGAATTTGAGAGCTGCAAGCTGCTCTTATAATAATACTATACATGTCTCTGATTTCTCTACTGCTCTGTATACAACATTAATGTCATTTATTACAAGATTGGCTGGAATGCTAATATAGAAATGCACACACATATGCATAGAGAAATTGAAGAAGAGCACAGAACCTGCAGAATCAGAAGCCAGGACAGGAGAAGTGAAGGCAGAAGAAACAGAGAAAAGAGAAGACACAGAACTGAGTGAATGATGGCGGGAGCCACTCGGGGCTGAATGCTTATGACTCAGTGTGTGCACAACCTTTCTCACAGAGAAGGGAGAGGGAGAGAAAGTGATGATAGAAGCTTGAGAGTGAGAGAGAGTAGTCTTGACAGTGTTGTCATCTTTGATCAGAATGGCCTCTGATGCCAGAGCAACTAAGAATCATTGTTAGTGTATGAAAATTGCAAAAGCAGAGATAATAATTACTGAATGAACATTCACTGGTCTTAGAATTGTATATGTAATTACAACACACACAAGACTTCTCAGAAAGAGAGAGAGAGACACAGAGAAATGCAGGAAGCAGAACACAGTGTGTGAACAGCTCATTTTCATGATAACATCTCAGACAAGATGTACAAGCCTCATGCCCGCGGGTGTAAAAGAGTATGACATCTGTGTTTCTGTTTCTGAAAACATGAATATCTTTTGTCTGCATCATGAAATTGGACAACAGATGCTAGAGAATAGGCTGATACAGATCTATCATCTCAAAGGAATTTATCAGAGCAGATGTCCCTGCAATATTAAACTTTATAGTTGTAAAAAGCTTCTTAATGTCTGTGAATGTCATGACTTCATGCACAGCAAAACTCATAATGATTTTTCCTAAGAACAGAAAAATCAGTGTTAGAAAGAAAAGATGAAAAAGAAAAAGACTTATAATCTTAACACTGTTAAAGAGAGAGATGATTCTCTGATATGAATGAACAATTGTCTCATCATGAATATTTAAAATGAATATAATAATCAGTGTCTGCAACTGAGCTTCAGATAGTTATATTATATACAGTCTTCATACAATAAATTATTCTGAGAGTTGATAAGAAGAGCAGAAGTGTACACACTGAAAGAGATGATTCATTAAGTCTATACAACATCTTCTTGAAATGAGAAGAGCTGATAATGAAAGCAGAGACAGTAAAACCAGAAGTAGTAGAAGTGAGAATCACAGGAACAGAAGTAGCAGGAGAGGAACCAGACACAGAGACAGGTGTAGAAGAATGAGAGAGAGTGACAGAGAAAGAAATAGAGAGAGCAGAGAGAGACACAGAAGACTCAGTCACATATAATATAAATAATTTCTTCATTATCACATTCTTCAGGTTCTTGATCAATGATTCAATATTAAGTTCACTATCATTGATGAATGCAGATCTGTCAACACATGAAGATTCTATGTGAATAAAAATAAACATCAGCATCTGCATTTATGCAAAATCATGTCAGAAAACATAATCAGAAACTCACTGAGAAGAAAACAGTTGAGAATGTATAAGAAGATGAAGAAGATGTGTCATTATTCATAGTAGTATATTCTGACAATTGTTAGAAGATAAACAAGTTCTGATCATGTTTCACAACATATTACACTTACTGCTAACAAACTGCCTGGTATGAGCACTATGATGATACTTGTTGTGAGAACAGAGAGCCATTGCCAGAAACACATACAATGTGATAGAGAGACAGATGAAAAGAGTTGAACAGAAGAAGAAGTAGAAATCTTGAATGAGATGATGATGTTCAATGATGATGATGATGAAGATGATGATTGAAGAATGAGAAAAGTTAGTGAATGAGTGATATAATATAGTGAAAGTTTCTTTATGAGAGTGTACATGAGACACTAGCTGAATCAGAAATAGACTACATGATTGTGAAATGCTAGTGATGAGTTAATCTGCATGAAGCTAGAGTGTACAACATAGTCACATGAGCATGACTGAATCTGGTGAGAGAGGATGTGATTTGAAAGAACATACAATCATCAGATAATAACACAGCCACTTCCGAACTACTAGTGTATGTGTACGAGTGTAAAGAGGCCATAGCGTACACTAATTAATTTAGCGTACAAGACTACAATATAAGAAGCCGGCGTATGCCTGTAATTGTACGCTGGCTTAAGCAACCTTTGAATCACAGTAGTTTACAACTACTCATAAACTCACTGAATGACAGATACAATAATCTGAGTTTTTAAGCTACTTTTATTTTACAATACACTATTATTCTGACAGTCAGAACTCAATGACAGATACTCTCTTATAATGAGAGTAAGATATATTATCTGATATAACAGATACTCACAGATTGAACTGAGAGCACTGACTCTTGAATTTGAAGATATTAGTTGATTAAGATAAAACAGTTCATAACACTATATACACTTCTCTGATTAGAACACTCTCTCTCTGAACTGTCACTGACACTGACACTGACACTGACATTAATATCTTGACTTCTTCCGAACCTACACTGAATGAATTATGACATGTAACAGCTCAAACTGATGAACTTCTTTAAGCACTCACTAAAGTAGTATATTAAGAAGCATTCTGATTCTTCTCAGAACTACATATAAGAATTAACATCTCAGAATAAACCGCTTTACCACGAACTCGCTCAATTTTTTGAATAAGAACCCGCTGATAGATTCATTGAAAAGCCCTCGATCATACGAGCATTTTGACCCCATCGCCGACCGCATACCCCGTGTGGTGGTGGAGTTATTCAGCCAAACATGAACCAGATGTCGTTTGAAACTCCTGTGTGGGATTATCCCCCTTTCTTCCCTACCACACCACAACCCCGGGCCAAATTGCCATACAAATTGTAAGGTGAAGAGACCTAGCCATATGCACCAATCTTCTCGATTTTGGAAGATCCCCGATCTGTAGTTGTGGAGATATCTGAGGAGCGATCTCCGCGAAAACCCTGTCCATCTTTGATGTTTCAAAACATCAATGCCAAGTCTCACCCTCGTACCGCCCTTCCTAATCTGGCCCATTCCCGGCAGAAAAATACAAAAAGATACCTTGGCAATAATATCAAGCACATAATCAACAGCCACTTCTGAAGTGCAATCTCCGCAGTCTGTCTTCAGTGTATCTAGACATCAACACCAAGTCTCACCCTTGTATCATCTCTCTCAATCTGGCTCATCTCTGATAGAAAAGTACAAAAAGATACCTCAGCAACTGTACTTGATACATAATCAGCAGACATAACAACTATAAAATCAGTATACTTCAAGATCTGACTGAGCCTTTGATCCCTGCACAGTGAGATATATTAAATCTAGTTTTAATATCTCAATATTCAATAGATTCTGCAAGAGATTGAGAACAGTAATACTAGATTTCTATTGAATTTGAGAATTAACTCTATATTAATATAATCATTAACAAAGTCTTCTATTTTGAGATATAAATAATCAGTTCCTCTACATCCTGCTGATAATATTTATATTATTATATAGAAACAGACTTATATTCTCTATAATATTAAGACTCTGAAGAGAGAAAGTCTTGATAGAGAATATATAGTAGTGTATATTTTAGCAGTTTTTATCTCATTCTTCTGCAGCAGTTAATACAAAAAAAAAAGATTTTAGAAATAGTTTTTTACTTCTCTTGAAAAAGTAAGATGTTTTTCTCTGAGCTTTATGCAATATTCTTACAAAGAATTAAAAACAGAGTTATTTTCTGTCATAATTTCATATTCTTTTAAGTAAGAATTACTTTTTCAGTGACTGAAGAGCTTTCATTAATACTTAATTCTTTTTTATACTCTTTATTAACTGATTTGAGTTGCACACTTATTGTGTGAGAAGAATTGAATAATTTAGAATAAAATTGAATAGTTTTAATCAATTTCTCTGTAAAAAATTGATTTATTTTTTATCAGTTTTTCTCTCAAAAACTGTCATATCATCTGATTTATTATTAATTGATATCATACTTTTTCTCACTGTATCTCAAGAAAGAGATTGTAAAGATTTTATTAATTTATCTTAAAAATCAATTTTAGTTTATTAGATTCTCTTCAAAAATCTAATCTAGTTACTGAACTAGTGTGATAAAAATCAGATGTTTTATACATAAGAGTCTGTTATTCTTCTTTTGAAATAGTCTGATCAACTTTTCAATTGAAAACAAACTTAGAAATCTCTTAATTGAAACAGTCTGATCAACTTTTTTATTCAAAAGAGTTTAATAAATATCTCAATTGAATTAGTCTGATCAACTTTTCATTGAGTAAGAATAATGAGTTTGAAAGTACACTCAGTTGATGTGAAAAAGAATGCTTTCTCAAATGCTATTCCTGAGATTGAAATTCTGAAGAGAAGAAAGAAAGAAGAAATAGAGAAACAACAAGTTCTTGAAATACAGAAACTTAAAAAAGTAAGTAAAATTCTTGAAAAGCAGTGTCTGAGTGAGATGAATGAAGAAGTTCTGTTAATTCTTCATACTCAGGCTAGACAACTACAGGAAGTGATCAAGTTCAAACTTGAAATTTCAAACACAGTTCAAAAAACTTTGAAAATTTCTAATATAATTACTGACTCTTTAGACTCTTCTTTCTTTTCTACTTCTTCTTCTTCTTCTTCTTTAAATCAGAAGAAAATATATGCTTAAGCAGCTGAATCTGATATCTCTAAATTTACTATCTCTAAATCTGCTATCTCAAAACCTGCTCAAAATTCTGAGAAAACTGAGAAGAATACTGCTCATACTTCTAGTGATAGAAGAGTGAAGAAAAAAATGTAAACAGAGAAAAATCTTCAAATCTTCAGAAATAGAAGACTTATTCTCAAAGTCTCAAATCAGAACATATTATAGAGAAATAAGCTAAACTCAAATCTTATTTTCAGAATTAGAAATGAAATCAATCAGCAGTTCTTTTCTCAGTTAATGACTGATATTAAAGTTCAAAAATCAGTTATAGCTTTAATTGAGCTATTCTTCTTTGAAAACTTCATCATTCTGATTACAATGTCTGAATTCAGTGCAGAATTTCTTATTCAGAATGAGAATCTCTGAAAATCAGTAGTAGAATCTTTGTTAAACAAAACAATTCTATCTGAGAGAGATGAAAAGTGAGATAAATTCATTCATTATAATATTTCAGTTGAAATTTTTGACTGTGAAGAAGAAATACTACTTCTTAAAAATGAATTAGAAGAATATAACTTTATTCAACTGAGAAAAGAGTCTGTATAACTAAATTCAATTGAGTTCATACAAAGTAGAAGTAATGCCTCTGTTCTAGTATATATAAAAACACTTGAACAGTCAAAGATCTCTGAAGTAAGAGTAGCAGGTTTGAAAATAAGAGTTCATGAATACAAAGACTCAAGAATGAATCTCAAAGCTTAAACATAGTGTTCAAACTGTTAAAGATATGAATACTTTGTAATATTCTATTTCAGAGACTCAAAATGTGCATTCTGTGTCAGAGATCATAAAACTAGTAAGCATAAATGTGAAATATGTGTAAAAAGAGATGAAATATGTTAACACACTCTGCTTAAATGCTCTAATTACAAAGAAAAACATGCATCTAGCTCAAAAGAATGTGTATTTGCTTCAAGAACTCAGAAAAACTGAAGAAAATATGAAGCTTAAAGCAAATCTAAAACTGAAGAGAATAGTCAAGTCAGTAAACTCACAACTGCAAGCTCAAAAAGAAGAAACTCTCAACTATCTAAATCTTCAAACTCTAATTCTCCAGCTAAATGTAAACAGAACTTGAATTCTCAAACTTCTGTTAAGATTAGAGAATTGAGAAATGACTCTGATGATAAACTAGATATAATACAAGCAGTTGAGATTTCTACTTTTCAGAATAGTTATAATCTACTATCTGATGATAGTAATTAGATTCTACTCTACTCTCCTTTAGTATGAATATACAATAAAAACAACAAAAAAAGTTTAAAAACTCTTTAAAAATCATATTTATTCAAAATAATGTGAATAGAAACTCAAATTGTATTTATTCTTGTCTTCAAATTGTATTTGAATAAAAAGTTGATTTTATATTGCTTCAGAAGCTGAATTTTCATGCTGAGTAAAAATATGTCATTTCTCATTTAAGCTACTACTGCTTTTTACCTTAAAAGTCTGAGATAAAGTCAAGAGTAGTGATCTATGGAAGAAAGAGATCAAGATATCAATTTAATCTAAGATTTAATATTATGTCTGACCCTGATATTCTGGTGAGTGATATTATAGATAAAGAAAATAAGTTTGATACTATACAGCTTGTAAATATCTATAATGAAAAGTCATTGAAGGAAAATAACAATATCTGAATAATTGATAGAGAATTTCTAAACATAACTTTATCAAGAAACTCTATAATTGTAGAAGATTTCAATGCACATTA